CCTCTTCCGTTTGGCCCTCGGCCGAGAGGGGGCGCGGGAGAATGACGTCATTAGCCGGCGCGGGAGGTCCCGCGCGGTGCACGCGGGCGGGGGGGGAGCGGCGCGGGAGCCGGTACCTCGCGCTATGGCCTGGCTCCCGGCTCAGAGGCATCTCCCGGCCGCCCGCGGCTGGCACAGCCGAGCAGGTCAGAGCCTCCGCTTCCTTCTAGGCGCGGATGCCCCCAGCTTGCCCCCACTGCCCACGTGCTGGGGGCGGTGCCGGTGCTGCCAGGTGCACGGTCATGGTCGGATTTGTAGGAACATTTCCCCCGTTGTACGAGCAGTAATGGTACAAACGTTCAAAATTGTAGGATAATTTTTGAGGCAGCTTAGGCACGCAGCAGGTGGAAAACCCAAGTCACTGGCAAAACTGACTCTGGGGTTTGCTGTGACGGCTCACCTCAAGATTAGGGTTGCCAGCCCTCCAGGATTGCCCTGGAGTCTCCAGATATAAACCTCCAGGAGACTGCAGAGAGGCACCCAGGAGATGAATGATAGGGCGTTCATTAAAATAAATATTAAATATTGAGTCTGATTTATATGGTAGTTCAGTGGGTTTTAAAAATGTAATAGTCATGTGTATTTGCCTTCCTGACCAAGTCTGTGCACCGTACTCTGTAACTGATACGTGCAAGCATGCAGGCACATTTGTGTTGTGTGTTACGGGCACATTGGCATTCCCAAAACTTCCCAGAATAGATTCAGATAGTTGGCAATCCTACTCAAGATACAGAAATGCTTAGACTGTGATGACCCAGCTGTCACTCACTTGCTGGTGACTTGCAGTGAACAATATAAAGTAAAGAAGAAAAAGATGTATTTGTGTACTTATTTGCATAAAGTTTCAGCTTGTGATAGTTTTCCAGCAAATATGATAATTTTGTGCTTACAGTATGATAATTTCATATTTAAGACCTGGCAATGCTGCTGTATGCACCTGCCCTCATAGTCATCACAGCAGCTCTGAAGGAGGCATGTCTCCTTCCCCATCTTTGCTGCAGGTCCTGGTGTGACCCTGCCAGGTTCAGTGCAAGCCCCTTAGCCCTGTGTGGGGAGGTGGCTGTCTTTGCAAATGTGTTTCCCAATCAGCGTTTCTAGCACGTCTTACATCAGGACCGAAGTGTTAGTAAAGGGGCGGGGGGTATAGCCCTGATGCACCAGAAAGGGTGCAAGAGGCAAGGGCTTCTTAGGGGAATCGCTGTCCTTGGGCCAACCACAGGCAGAGCCAAGATCTTGAGAAGAGGGCAGCGCAGGGGGAAGAGCATTGTTATGCAGAACACAATGCACATTTTTCTCCTGTTAAAAAGAAGCTGTAAGCTTTACTAATATGCCAGGGGTCCAAGGGCTGCATTATTCTATTTAAGATGAGAGCAAAAACAAAAATGACTTTTGCAATTTGCATTAATTTGTTGTCATATATAACAGGCAGAAGTGCACTGATACATCAGTGGTATATCAAATTGGCAGTGATAAAAGGCAAATTAACATTGTTGGTAATCAGCTTTTTTGGCCAGTGTAGTTGATAATAAGGCCATTAAATGCTGCGTGTGTGTGCACAAACAGCTTGGAGAGCAGAGTCCTGAAGGTAAGTCTGCCAGGGAGGAAGAGGCATGGGGGAGGGAAGGGGCATGGGAGAACGGATTGAGGCTCCCATGAGGCCCAGCCAGGGCGGTGAATGTGACTTTGCTGGGACAGAGCCTTGGGCACTTTGTTCAGGGGGATGGGGAAGGGGAGGCTTCCCATCGCTGCTTTGCACCCCTAGGGGAAGCATGAGAGGCATGTGCCCCCCTGGATTTGTGTGCAGGCCAAGGGTGAGCTGCCCACTGAGGGCTCAGGGCCAGGGGCTGCTCCAGCCTCTTTCTGACAGAAGTGCTGAGCCAGGGCTGCACTTAGGGTGGGAGGGGGTGGGGCAGGCAGTGGGAGTGCTTGGAAGGGTAGCTATAGGGGGGCCTATGATGAATTTTGGTGTGGCCATAGCCTACCCCGTAGCCACCCCTCCCAGTGCTGCCGCCTGCCCCACCCCAAATGCAGCTGGGAAGAGGCTGGCACAGCCCCTGGCCCTGAGCCCACAGTAGGCAGACCACCCTCGCCCTGTGCACAAATCTGGGGGGGGCACATGCTCCCACCATGCCACTTCCAAGGGTACACGCAGTGGCGGGGAGCTGCCCTGCGTCCCCCGGACAAGCCGCCTGCAGATGTGTTCCGCTCTTGGCAGGATCGCATTCACAGCCCTGACTGGGCAGCGCCTGCCCTTGCCCCACTCCCTCCCTCACTGTGGGGACCTCAATCAGGCCCCCTTCCTTCCCCCCCAGGCCTCCTGGATGGATGCTGCTCTCCAAGCTTCCGGGCTGCATTCCTATAAATCAGCTATTAGATCAGTATTAACCAGCCATAATTGGCCAGTAATCAACCATTGGTATCAGCCAAGAAAATCTTTATCAGTGCACCCCTAATAACAGGGGCAGGCAACTCCCGGCACAGGTGCTAGAGTGTGGCATACAAAGGCATTTTGCTTGACACGTGCGCCTTAGGGTGGATGGTGGGGAAGGAGCCAGGGCTGCGTTGTCACAACAAGGATCAAGCCCCTTATGCCTCCCTGCTGTCTGTCTCTGGCATACTGACATCTTACAAGTCAAGGTTATGGGTGTTTTTGGCACTCTGCCCCAAAATGTGGTCAATCCCTGACCCAGTGATTTGATGTTTTGGTCTTCCAGGACTGAAGAAGTAAGTTCTGTGTTTTCATTGTAACTAAAGCATGCATACACATTTAGGAATCTTCCCAATAATAATTATTATTATTTGGACTTATATCCCACCCTATCCAAAAAGATTCAGATCCAATTACGATAACATATAAACAGCCCAAAAGATAAGAAACAGCCACAACAAACTCCCCATTCAACACCCTAAAACTTTAAAAATGTTTCCCCTAACATGTTACTTTACTAAATGTAGGTTGCCTAGACAGTATCCTTTTAGCCTAGCCTAGCCTCCATTCTCCATGTGATGTGTTGATATTTGTTTTCCATATAAATAGCAAGGCACAGAGAGAAATGACTTTCTCCTGTTTACACAATCAGTAGCAGAGCCAAGAATGCTACCCAGGAGACTGGACCTCTCCAGGTGACTGCTCAAACCATCAGTCAGGTTTACTGTAACTAATAAATGTATAATTTGTTTTTATCTTTATTGGATGTACACAGTCCTGAGGACTCTTTAAACTTTTAAAATATAAATAATTGCTTGTGAGAGCTCTCTCATCTCCCTGGGAGATACGCTGCCTATACATCCTATTTTGGGTCTGTATTTGAATTTTAGCTCTAGAGAAAGCATTTACATGTCTCAACTCTAAGCACACAGTAAAACTGGTAAGCAAGAGGAGTACAGAGCCTTGAAGACTTGAATTGAAATTTACCCTAAGCCTTCGTTATAATTGTGAAGGATGTAGAAAGGATCATCTTGGGTAGTGGTTTTCAAACTGTTCTGTGGACCTCTGGGGTTCTGTGGTAGGTCATCATGGGTTCTGCAGAGAGATTGGGGATAATGAAGGAGCGGGACAGAAGATGGTGACCACCCTGCCACTCCAGGTTGACTAGCTCCATGTCAGCTCACATGGCCCATGGAGTCAAGGGATGGGGTTCCACAGCAGAAGTGATATGAAAGGGTTCTGTGACTTTAGGAAGCTTGAAAATCACTATTTATATCTTCACGGACTGCCTTTCTTGCTTGCATACCAGCCTCTAACTTCTTTACTATTCATCCCATCCAGGAAGAGCACACACTAATTGCAGATGCTTCCTTAGCCTGATGAAGGGCATTTAAACCCAAAAGCTTGCTAAAAAGAATTTTTCCAACTATTTGAGTTGATCTAAAGAAAGATACCAGATTTACCCAAAGAACTTTGTCTGAAAACCACTAGACACTTTTCCTAAATTCTGTAAAAGGTAATAGGGCTCAGATTAATCATTTAAATTTCAGATCCAGAGATTTTTTTTCAGGGAAAACTGACAGGGACGGATGTTATAGTCATGTTCTTGTTTTCACATCAAGAGTGTCCCCAGGTCCTCGGTGCACGCAACAAGTTCTTGTAGTTGCCTGTTTGGGAATCTCACTGACTCATGGTATTGGGAACAGGAAGTACAGTTATTGAAGTGCTTATTTTTGAGTGACCAGTTTCAATTTAGATAATGCTGGTAGCAAATAACTTTAAGGCACTAGTTGGAGTAAGTTTCACCCTCCCACCGTTAAGGGTTTACCTTATAACATATAACAGTGGCACTTGATGGGCCCCTTACTAGCAGTCTCAAGAGAAGGGTTGAGGGCTGGAAAGGTCATAAAAAGTGAACATCTCTTTTTCCCATTAAAAATGGGTCTTACAGGACATGACCCAAGTGGCCTGGAAAGGGGAGGTGGGTTTTGTTTGCAGTACCCCAGCTTTTGCAACACTTTGAATAACTAAAACATTTAATTTTCTTTGTATATCATTCTCTGTACAAAACAAAAGCAGATGTCACACAAGATCAGCCCAGCTTTCCTCTTTCAAGCATGTGGTCACTAATTTGTCCAGTTCAGCATACACTGACTTCCCTTTATTCATCCCAGTATCTGTTCATAATTCTTCTGTTTCTGTTGAGATCAGTTCATATTGAGCTTGAATTTTAACTGTTTTCAAAATAACTGCAACAAGTTGACATATTGAGAAAGGTTATCACTGCAGTGGAAGTGGGATAAACAATGCTAAGAATTGGAAATTAGAGGGCCATGTAGATTTTCAGTATGATACTAGAAAGGTTTTACATCTTGATAGAGGGCATTTTCTTTTCTTTAGACTGCAAGTTCTGTTTCCTTCGGAGGTTTTCCATTCAGCCTGCCCAGCAGAGGAAAATTCCAAACCGGTACCTAGGTCAGCCCAGCCCTTTCACACACCCACACCTTCTCAAGCCAGGTAAGGATCCTGAATGGCAGGTAACCAGTCAGGAGATGTTGCTCCCTTTCTACATTTCTCCAAGGAAGTAACTGTATATAATACAGCAAATCAATGTTTTACATTAAGTGCCTGTAGCCTGGACCTATCTTACTTATAGTAATTTTATTTCAAGGGAGTAATTTTATTCCTCATGGAATTTTCCATTTTGTGACAATCTCTGGCTCTAGAAGAAGGCGTGGTTCCCATATCCTAATCCAAAGCCTTGTGCATTTCAGGAACTGCTGTATTTACTCAAATTCAAGATGACTTTGAATTTAAGACAGTGCCCCAATAAATACATTCTACAATTGGAAAATTATACATTTGTTATAATTTTCATTTGATAGAATCTAATTACCAAAGAGTCATCTTAAACTTGTCCCACAGGGAGAGAGCCAGTCAGCAGCCTGACCCCACACTGTGCTCCCCTGCCACTTGTCCCCCATGCCTGTGCCCCTGCCACCTGTTTCCCCATCTGCCCATCCCCTACCCAATCCCTGGCCTGTGCTGCCACCCACACCTTGACTCATGCCACCAACCACCACCCTCTGGGTCCGACCACGAAGCCAATTCCCCAGCCAGCGGATCGTGGTG